TTCTGCTTTATTCTACCCGAGAATACCGATCAAGGAGAAGCGACAGCTTGGTGTTTTCAGTGTACCGTTTTGTAACGCGCATGTGCGAAAATAAGTTGTGTATCACTCAAAATTATGTTATCTGTCAAAGTCAGTCCAAGTTGTGTTTAGTACGTGAGCAATGTTAAGTGATACTTTTTGGTGTTTGTTTTGTGTAGTAATAAGACGAAGATTTTTACACACTTAGGTATTCTAATACAGACATAAAATGTGCCAAAAAAGTTATTAGGAAACTAAGAATTTTATCACATGCATAAATATTAAGTATAATGATTTAATTATTTTTGACATTTTATTTTTCATATGTAGGTATTGTATTTTGTGAAATATATGTTTTTCTTTTTTTAAATAAATTTACAATGAACTGCAGATTTTGTTTATTTTATTTTGAAATTATATTTAAAAAAATATAATAAATTCGCGTATTTCAATTAAGATTGGTCAAAGTGAAGAAAATCCCTTTATTATGGCTAAATTGTAAGTTACAATTATGTCAATATAAAGATGTTTTGCCCATTCATATTTACATTTATTGAATGAATTATACTGGAGTTGATTTTGCAAATATTGGTGCATACTTAAATAAGTACTATTTCTAAAAATTCGTCTATGCACACATAGTCCAATGGACGTCCACTTTTGATCTATTTAAGGGTCAGGACGTCTATATCCGGGCATCCAGTGTACGTCGGTTTATGCTAATTAAATTGACAGCTGAATATCGATACCCAGAGAACGTCTGTTTTTGGACTTAATTTTAAGTTCAATAGTATTTTGACGTCCAGTTTACGTCCATCTTAGGTCATTATTTATTAAGCCTACCAGATAATACCCATCTATATATACTTTTTTTAATATAACTGGTCATTAAAAATTGACAAATTAAATCTATTGCATTTCATTCTATCAGCGGAAGTTTGAAATCTTATTCAATTATAACTGTATCTAGTAAAAAGTTTTTAAGTGGTTCCTTCGTCGAGCTCGTCTAGCGATTGAAAGCGTAAAACGATAATGGCTGTGTCGTGAGTTCGAGTCCTACTCAGGTCAAGCGATTTTAATTAAAAAATAAATAAATGGTGTATAGCGATTTGCGAAAATAATAAAAAAATTATTAATAATATAAAATAGTGTGTGGTGAGTTGCGGTTCTGTAAAAAAGTGGGGATGTGGTCTCAATGGAAATATAATCCTGGACGTTTTTTGAATGTCCAGTATTCGACGTCCTCTGAATGGTCAAAAGTGTGCCATTTGTATACTTCACTGGACGTCCATTGGATGTCGGAAGTCCAGAAAACTCATTTTTGGACGTCTAGACATCCAAAATTGTATATCGAATGGACGTCTAATGGACATATTTGTATTGTCTGGGTAATAGCCAGGCCAGGTATTTAACTCTAAATACAGAAACCTTAATAAAATCTGGTTTAACTTGGCAAGAAAACACTTGTTTCTACAGAAATGAGTGATAAACTTGAAAGTCCTTTTAATATAATATAAATCTAGAAATTCTAAAAATATGTAAGTACTTTTTAAACCTAAACGCTTTGAAAATATATGCACATTGCAAATATTTAGTTAAACCTCTTAAACTTAATGTCTTTTTAATTGTTACCTAAATTTTTTTTGACACCCTTAATTTTATTTACCTTATTTTTAGTTAAGGAAAAGGTCATTTAATTTAAATATGGGGCTTTTATTACATTTTTAACGATAAATAAACCAAATATTGAACAAATTTTATAGATAAATTATAAAATAATAAACGTCTTTTACTTTTATAATAAATAATTAATTATTACATAATGAATTATATTTTGGTGCTGAAATTTCAGCATTGCTATGAACCCTAACTATTTCAATGTAATTAAATCACATTGCAACATTTGCGCATGGACTATAACAATAATTTCAGATAATTTGCCAAACTATTTCGCTCAGTGTAGAAAATAAGCATGTTTTCTCAGCGTGCTAAGTTGTGTATCAGTCAAAGTCATACTGTGAAAAAGGTCACATACTTTGATTTTCTTTTACTATACGGAGAATGGTCGCACTGCGCAGCTTTCTGAGTGCCTTTTAAAAAGAGATAGGAAACTCCGCCATTTTGAACCCTTATTACGTGTTGCCTACATCTTGGCGCAATATTTTTAATAAGTGCGTTTTAATCATCCGCTTCTGCTTCGGAATTGTCGGTTTTCTTGTTTTAATCTGACAGGTTAAAACGACTAAACCGACAATTCCGGAAGCAGAAGCGGATGATTAAAACGCACCTGATATTTTACTTGCTGCTATCAGTGTCAGTGAATATTATTTTTGTAGTCACAGTTTATTGCTAAAGAATCAGTTAGCTCACTCGGACCAGTTGAAAGTTTCAAAATAACATCCACTCCAGGGATACAAATTCAGGATACGCAGAAGACTGCTGTTTTATTGTAGGCGGTTGTCATATATTGTATTATCCGAGTTGCACAGTGTATAAACTGAAACATTGAGATCAAAAGTGCCGACGCAGAGTGAGCGATCTGATTATTTAGCTGTAAACTGTGTCACAGGGTTCAAAATGGCCGCGCCCTATGTTGGGCGTGTCGGACCTCTCTCTTGCCTCGTATAGTAATCAAAGTATGTGGAAAAAGATACATCCGATATCAAAGGCACCGACTGCTACTGTCGCTTCTCCTTGATCGGTATTCTCGGATTCTACCTCTACCTCAATGCCAGGAGGAATCCTAATCGGCCTTGGAATCACGATGGTATAGAGAAAGTAAAAGTTGAAAAGTCTTTTGGTAGGTAGAGAGGGGGTAAACGTCAAACCACGTCGGGCGGCTCCGAGAATTTCGCAGTAATGTTTACCTGCCAGTGTCGTTTCATAGAATAAGTAATTTTAAATTGTTATCGGCGGAACCGGACAATCGCATGTATTTATGGATTATAAATAATTATTAAACATGTATTCAAATCATAATTTTACAAAATTTCAACAGCTATTCACAATTTATTAAACTATTTACTCGAAATTGTTATTAACATCTATAAAATAATTTTGTACGCCAATGTATCGCGTCCACTTCGGTGAGATCCGCTGCCAACCTGTCAATTTATGTGTATAAAGTGGGAGAACTGGCAAAAGCATTTCCAACTTTTACTTCTGTTCTATCTAATTTTAACAGTGAACTAGACGAATATGGCGACAAGTGTTTCCGGTCTACCAGTGACGTACTGTCATAAAGGGGCGTAGAAAAGAAAATAATAAATTCTCATTTGCATATTATCTAAATTTATCGATTTCTCTCATTTTAACGAATTGCTATTTTCTTGCGAGAAGATTGCATTTTTATTATTTACCTTCATTATGTGAATAAATTTTACTTTAAAATTGCATGTTGGGTGGGATCAATATAGGAAAATATTTTTAGGATAATTTATAGAGGGCCCACTATGCATAAAAACGTTAAATTAATGAAAACTTTACAGCACATTGGTACACTGTAACTCTTATTTTTACTCTTGTTTTCATCTATAGGATGGACGTCTAAGCCCAGACTAGGGACGTTTACTTTTATGACGAAACAATGTTTTGTACTTTGTTACGTTACGTTATTCCACGTTACTGGAAGTTCCCAAAAATTATGTCTTTTTAACAAATTTTTAAAAATGTGGCATATGTTTCAACTCAAAATTCCCGAGGTGCTTTGCTGCCTTCTTTGGCATTAAGTAGCATGCGGTTTAGCCGTTTTAACCTGTCAGATTAAAAAAAGAAAACAGACAATTCCGAAGCAGAAGCAGATGATTAAAACGCACCTATTAAAAATATTGCGCCAAGATGTAGGCAAAACGTAATAAGGGATCAAAATGGCGAAGTTTTCTATCTCCTTTTAAAAGGCACTCAGAAAGCTGCGCAGTGCGACCATTCTCCGTATAGTAAAAGAAAATCAAAGTATGTGACAAAAAACGACGAAATCTTCTAGGTATGCCGCTGACGCTTCGAGAAACTGCCGTTGAGTCATAGAGATGGAATTTTTGGGAGCGCCCAAAAACGACGAGCACAGGATTGGCTTGGTATTAATAGCCGACTCATCGACGCACAGTTTAGTTTAGTATAGAATATTGGAATGAAAAGTTAAAGTGTAATAAATAAATTAGAATTATTAGTTAGTGTCTAAGTATTATATAAATTAAATAGTACGTCTCAAATAAATTGAAAATAGTGTGTTTTAAATAAATAAACTATAAATAAATTAGACTATCGTTACAATACCCTATAAACCATGACCTACGCCAATGAGCACAGTTCAGCGCAGACGCAGTTAACATGTTTGTTTACAAATTTAAAACATTGAACATTTTAAAAATCTTTAATGTGGTTGAAAATGCTTATGAAATGTAGATTATTCGTTTCTACTTTTAGCTGTGCTGCTATGTCCACAAGACGAACAACTGACCATATTGTCTTGTTTGTCTTTTAACGCGGAAAATTTAAAATTAACAGTAATACTAAATACATACTAAAACATTAAACACTTTTTAAAAATGTCTACAAAACATACGCTTGATAAAAGTTTAAATTAACACATAAAACATCCAAATTATTAACAAATTTTAATCACTGAAATTATAAACCAATTTTAGAAACCATTTATCATATGATAGTGAGTCATCCATAGTACAACATGGCCACCACTTCCGTCAGATCGATTAGATTAACGCGGACATAGCATGCTCCTTCCTGACTATTATGTTCTAAGCATAAAACCTACAAAATTAAAATTTTTTTTTTGGTATTTAATTCACTAATACAGTGTATTGGAAAGGTGTACATTTACCTATATTTCAGGAAATATATTAAATAAAACAACTTAAGTTTTTAAACATTTTATGGACGCACTAGGCGATTCTGGGAACACTAAAAAAATCACATTACATTTAGAACCATTATATTGAATATTTTTGTTTTTTATGAAATCATTACCATCTTTTTTTTGGGATAATACTATCCATAAACCTATCCATGAATTGCGTCTTGCCAGCTACTTTCTGAATGTTATTTTATTTTTTTGCATTTTCTATACTTTTTTGGATCCATTATATTATGATTTTTTTAAATATCCTCGATATGTTTTGGAGATGTAATTTAATAAATATTTTGTACTATGCTAATGCTAATATAGATTTCTATTCAGGGCTGCCAGAATGAAAATGACAAATCGTCCTGAAAAACATTTTAAAACGCAGGTACTGAATTTCAAAAAAACGAAACGTACTGAATAAATACCTTTAAAAATTAATATTTTATAAAAATTAACTATTAAATATCTTTTATAGAAAAATTTGAAACATTTACAAAAGTTTTACTCTATAGGAACAAATGGGCTGGGCACAAGTGAAATAAAAATTATTTTCTTGTGGTTTAACACTTTTATTAAATTATATAATCTTTATGTATAGCAAAAAACGTCTTAATCCATTTTACTTTCAAATTTACAACCAACAAATGTGCAATAAATTTTAATTTCAAATAAATGTTAATAAAAATACGTTACTTTATTCGAAAAATGTCCAAGTACTGAATATGGTACTGAACTGACTATTTTTAACAAAAACGTACTAAAACTAACAACGTAAAACTGACGTACTGAAAAAGTTGAAAAGGTACTGAATTCAGTACAAACGTACTGAATCTGGCAGCCCTGTTTCTGTTACCTATATTTTTTAAATTGAAATACCTAGTTTACTTAAATGTTCTAAAAATAGAAATTCATTTTTATCAAATCTATATCTGCTCGACCTCTTCTCGACCTCTTCTATTCTATTCATAACCATCCATATTTGGGCTGAGTTTTCTTATCATGAATCCTTTGGATATTTCTTTGTGCCAAAGGCGTAGTAGCCGGCGTGGTAGCAGGCGTTTTTGGTTGAAGACATGGAATCTGTTCCAACTAAACATAAAAAATAAGGGTTTGTTAACATTTATATTTAAAAACATCATTACTTAAATTTTATCTTCTAATTAATCAGAAAATGAATAATTTCTTAGAAAGTATTGATAGCATAGTTACCCATTTTTATGATAACGTAAATATTGAAAACTATCAGAATGTTATAATATTTAGAAGGATTATAAGTAAATTGCATGGAACCGCTAGCGAAGTAATTAATATTAATGAAGCCACAAAAATAAAAGAATTTATAGAGGAGTTGATGAATTTTAGTAAACCCCCAAATGAAAGTTGCTTATCTTTGGATTTAAATAATTTAAGGCAAACCCCTAATGAGAGTCCATATGACTTTCATGGGAAGGTCAGGAAATTATTATATACTATTTCAAACTACCTCGGTTTGCATGAATTCAATTTAGATATAAGAAAATTTAAACAAAAATTATACAGGGTGTTTCATAATATATGCGCAGGACTTTAGAACGTGATAGCTCGTCCAAAAATATGAAAAAATGTTTCTATTAACTTACCCTCTAAAATGCACCATTTTCGAGATATCAATTGAAATGTTCAGTACTCTAATTTACACTTTCATTATTATTAAATTGTATTTATTTTCTCTATTGATATATTTAATTTTCAATCATTTTTAAATTAATACATAATTGAGAAGGGGTCCGGAAATAAACAAAAAGACAACACAGGCACTTCACCTAGGTTTTTAGTTTGTTTTCGTGCTCCTCACCTAACAGTTTGTACTATTATATAATGAAAAAAATGTAGACTAATTACTCTATTACTAAATAAATTGAAATTGAAATTGAATTGAAAATTAAATATTTATAAAAAAAATTACACGTGCTAAAGTTAACTGTATCTACTGCAAATTTCGCAAAACAGGTTATCAGTAAGTTATTTTTTAAGCAAATATATTAATTTTATCTAAAATTTTAAAACGTCTTATCTCGAAATCTCTACTTTTTGAGTTGTGCCGTTGTTGTTCCAAGGTAGCGATATATAGGCCATAACTCTCATCAGATAAATGTATAAATATGTAATTAGGCAAATGTGTATATTATTCTTGGATTTATGTTGATATTACATACATATTATGTACAGTATATGGTGAGTAGGTACTTAATTTTTTTCTGATATATCGTCACTCCTTACCCCACACCTGACTGTCATCTGTCAGTGAACAACCCTGTATTCATATTTTCAGAAAAACACTGCAGTTTTTATCCATAGTCATTTTTGGCTTAAGTCTTTGTGATAAAGTAACTTAAAAATGAAAATTTGATATACATATTTTTTTGTTGTTCGCTAATTTAAAAATTGCATGTATGAATAAAAGTTTTGAGCAGTGCAATTTATCCTATCTATCCTATATCTTTTTTCTAATTCCTATTTAGGCTTCAACATTTTTACTTTCCTATCTGTATACAGATATAAGGAAAGTATAGGAATCATGATTTTTTTCGACTTCGAGTTTTCGACGGATTTTTACGTTTTGAGGTCCCCTTAATCCGTTT